AGTGGACTCACTATGACTTGTGTTGCGAAGTAAGAAAACATTGCTACGCTGACAACCATCTGGTAGTGATAAAGACAAGAATACAGTACGAGACCAGACTCATTCTAATACTTTCGGGCTGATCGCTCTTGTTCGCTTTGCACTCCAACTGATATTACATGAGTAAAGGCTTTGCATCGCCTTGAAACTACTGTACAGTACTGCACCCCGTTTTCGCGGGGGTGGACCATATAGGATCTGCAAATAAATCCGATTTTAGCTGACAAACAATTGATCAATTGGACTCAAGATCATCACATCCGGAAGTTTATTAAAGGTCCAAGGGCGCTAAAACGGGGTGCAGTACTGTATCAAATTGATGGACATCCTTCCAGTGAAGAGCGACCGCTTTATAATCATCGAATTGCCAATGTACCTACATGTACTTACCTTTGATGCACATGCACTTGGCGGCTTCCTCTTTCTTGAATTCGCATTCTCCAGCACTCTTCACTTCAATAAATCGACGAAAGAATGCAGAATCTTGCTCTTACTGCAGCAGACATCACCGCTCTAGCCTCCATGCCAGCCGTACAGGGCCACGGCTTTATTGTGGAGCTTGCTGCGCAGTGATTTAAAGGGTACCCAGATAATGGCTGGGGCAGCACTGTCGACCACGAAATCTGGGGCAAGTACGACTTCGAAAAGTATGGCTTTGGCCCTAACGGCACGTTGGGCTTCTTTAAGGACACGTATCCCACCAAGGGCTACGACTCGCTTGGCGAATTCATCGCCAAGAACCAAGAGCTTTATAGTAGCGACATTGATCCCGATTGCGGTTGGACGGTCTACAAGGATTCTGCTCGCTCGGCACTGCCGACACAGCTCGAGTACACGGGCTTCACGCACCCCGGTCCCTGCGAGATCTGGTGCGACGACACGAAATTGCTGTTCGACTATGACTGCTGGACCAAGTACCCCGCCATCCCGGCCAAGATTCCGTACGATAAATCCAAGTGCGCGAATGCCAACCGCCTCACGATTTTTTGGATTGGAATCCACGGAACTCCGTGGCAAATCTACACGGACTGTGTGTGGCTAAAGGGCGGATCTGGAAGAGGAGAACCCCCTTCCGCTGTTGGTCCCGGGGCATCGAAAGTCGCTGCCGGTTCCGGCTCGAGTTCGACGCCGACTACGAATGCGCCGACGCCGACTACGAATGCGCCGACGCCGACTACAACGAATGCACCGGCCAACACACCCAACACAGCAACAACAGTGCCAAGCACCCCCACAAATGACGCGTCGCGTGAAACTGCAGGTGAGGCGTCTACTTCTATCGACGAGACCGAGGCAGCAACAAGTGGAACAGACGAGTCTGCAGCAGAGGAGGCTACTCCAGCCCCTGAGGCCCCTAGCACTCCTACAACCAATGCGAAATGCTCTCGCCGCAACTAGTGTGTAGGGAGCGGAATCTGTGTGTCGATCAGATGTTCGTCTCTCCTGCATTATGAATGTGTCACTATCGCGTTCAAATTGAACCAATACATATACTGGTGTATCGTTTTTCGGAGTCTTGATACCAACTATGATTCATAGCTTATGATAGTGTAACGGGGGCCGGCCAGTTGGCATCTCGTGACACGCAACGGAGACGATGGCCGGTTGACTGGCAGATGGGCGGACGGAGTGGTAGTTAGGCGAGGTAAGTAGGCTTGAAGATCCGTGCGGAGGCTGGCGTCGGCTGCCGAAGCTCGGATCGACAGGATTTAGTGGAAAGTTATTGGGCGGACGGAAGGACGGACGGGTTCGGCGCTCTCACTTTGGATTTGGCAGCCGAGCTATCAGATCCTACAACTTTCGACGTTGGAGAGCGTCGACCTGGACGGACGAGTGCGAAGCGGACGGTGTCTGCTGAGACGAGCTACTAGCAGTTCCTGGACGTGGAGTGCGGATTGGACGGACGGAACACGAACTTGCAGAGTCTACCGAAACGTTCTACTGGTAGTGGCTGTAGGCAGAGTGTATTAAGTTGAACGGACGTAATAAATAGGTGTAGCTACCAAATGGGTACTCACCCGGCGCGAGTGACTCGAATTGTCCTCGTCAGCCAGCGGACTTGGACTTGCGGATCGGCACTGTCGACCAAACCCCGGCGAGCAGGGGAACTAATTCAGACTCGTTACATGGTGGTCATACAGGGGCTGAAGTCAAGAACACGAACGACAACTACAAGCACAAGTACGCATACGTGAGCGACGAGACGTACGAGCAGCAGGTGTTACGGGTTACAATTAGGAGCGGTTACAAGGTTACTGGATCCAATGGTAAAAACGCGACGGACGGTGGTGACCGGCGGTATGACCACGCGGTCAGGGCGCACGCCGAGACGCACGGACACGACCCGGACGGCACCGGAAGCTCGGACGACTACAGGAAGGACGACGGACGCCACGACAGAAGCGGGAGATGCACCGCAACAGGCACCTGCCACAGAGGCAGCGAGTAATGGCGACAGGGACGCAGCACTCATGGCCACGCTGAACAGGATGATCACGACGGTGACGCGACTGGGAGACACGGGTAGACGGCATGGGAGAGCGCTCAGGCGCGCACGCGACGAGTGTCCATGCCAGCGAGCGGACAAACCAAACACGCTACGGGCCCGGTCGATACGATGGATCGTGGCGCAGCACATTGGATTCTGCAGCGATCCTCCAAGAGCCGACGGTCAGCAAAAGCAGCGAGATTCCAGGACGAAAAACGGGGGGCAGCACGAGCCATCTCGACGGGCAACCGGCCCCCGGATGGAAGCCGATGGGGAGTAAAAGCAGCGACGACAGCGGGAGGTAACCAGTGGGTGACGGACAGCTACGACAGCAGCAATGACCGAATGCCGAGGGCAGGGCCAGGGT